AACTGGCTCTCCATTTGCCAAAAACTAAAGCTAGAGCCATGTCTATCACCATGTACTAAATTAAAATCTAAATGGGTCAAAGATCTGAATATTAAAACAGAAAAACTAAATCTATTGGAAGACAAATTGGTTAGAAAACTTGAAGACATAGGAGTAGGTAGAGAATTCATGAACAGGACTCAAACCGCACAGGAAATACTTCCCAGAATCAATAACTGGAACTGCTTCTTATTAAAAAGTTTCTGCATGTCAAAAGAAATCTCCACCATAGTGAAAAGAAAACCCACAAACTGGGAAAAGATTTTAGTGAACTCTCTCTCAGACAAGGGACTCTTATCTAAAACATATAAAGAATTAAAAAAACTCAAACCCCAAAAATTCAAAGATCCAATCCAAAAATGGCCATCTGTGATGAATACGCACTTCTCAGATGAAGAAATACAAATGGCAAATAAATACATGAAAAAATGTTCATCATCATTGGTCATTAGAGAAATGCCAATTAAAACCACACTGAGATACCATCTTACTCCTGAAAGAATGGCCAGGATCAAGAAAACCAACCACAACAAATGCTGGAGAGGCTGTGGGGAAAAAGGAACTCTCCTGCACTGTTGGTGGGAGTGTAGACTGCTACAACCTTTGTGGAGGTCAGTCTGGATATTTTTCAAAAACCTGGGATTGGAAGTCCCATTTGTTTCAGCTATTCCACTTCTAGGCATATTCCCAGAAGAACTGAAAGCATCATACCACAGTAATATATGTGCACCTATGTCTATAGCAGCACAATTTGTAATCGCCAGATCTTGGAAACAACCCAAGTGTCCATCTACTGAGGAATGGATAAAAAAGTTGTATTTCTATACAATGGAGTACTACTCAGCTATAAAGAAGGATCACATTGAGATATTTATCAATAAATGGGCGCAGCTTGAGACCATACTCATAAGTAAAATATAACAATCTTGCATGTGTGAATACCGAATAGTTTCCCTAATGTAAGTAATGATTCAAATATATAAAAGTATGTGGTAATCATGATTCCCTATTACATGGCCTTGAATCCTTATAAAGTTTTCACTTATTAATTGGAAAGGCTTTATTCTGGGCTTCTTGATATGGAAGTATTTGAATCTAGAGTATATGAAGTTATATTCAAATATTTCAAGGAAAAAGATAGACAGTATGGTAACTACTACTAAATCAGGTTATTTGGTGGTGAAGCACTAGGTTGCTGAAACAGTCATGCTTTGACCTGTATTGTTATGGTGATAAGTCCTCTTTTATCTCAATCTCTCCCTTATTCACTAAAAAAAATTGTTTAGTTATTTTTTATGTTTTTTTAATTAAGGGGAAAAATTGAAGAAATTAGCAGGATATATTATAGTAACTTTTTTCGATTTCCTATTAACTTGTTTTGAATTCTTATAATACTCCTACTATCTTGTTTTGACTGGTTAGACTCTGTTCCATTCTGTATGATAGTATCAAGTTTGGGGGTATAGGCAACTACTTTGAATGCAATAAGATTCACTAAGTTGCCCATTCTGGTTTGACTATTATCTCCTTTGGAATTCCTGTAATGTTTACAATGTTTAAGTTTTATTGGTCTTGTTCTCTACTGTTTTGTTCAACTTTATAATACCTAATGAGATAGACAATTCTTTTTAAGGAAACAAGAGATATTATGATAACCATTGTTGATAACCTTGTACTCTGTTCTTACATCATGTATTATGTCTATCTTTGGTTTTGACTGACAGTTTTGTTTTGCCATATTTGACTTTATTCTCTTCCAAAAAAAAGTAATAAGAACTAAGGAGTAATAACACCCAAATTGTGTAAATTTTGTTGTAAAAAAGAGAGGGAAAAAAGTGCTCTAAAGGATACAACTGCAAGTGTGTTTAGGGGTGTTAAATAGCTGACCATATTAATGTTTTGGTTGGATCATTGAACACAACTGTTTAGAGTCTCTCTGTTTGAATGTTCACTTTGTATGCTTTGATACTGTGACTTGAGCAACTATCTCTAAGACGATAGTGTGTAATCTATTAACTGGTGATTTCTTACTGTTTTTTTTTTTTTTTTTTTTTGTAGTTCTGTATTACTTGTACCCTTGCACCGCTTTGTTTTGTTTTGTTTTTTCTCTTTTTCCTTTTAAATAAAATTAAAAAAAAAGAAATTTAACTGAGAGACTCAGCAGGGAGCTAGGGTTCTTACTTTGTAAATATTCCCCACCTGTGCCAAGGAGAGCAAGGAGATTTTGTGAATGCTACACCTGTCCTAAAGAGAGCGGGGTGATCGTGGCCTATGTACAATATAAGGGAGGAAAAGAGGCTTGCTCTGCCCCCCTTTTGCTCTGGCTGCTGCCTTGAAGTGTTGTCCTTGTGCAATGCCATCCTGCCTTGGAGCCAGTTGATTATGGACAAAACCTCCACAGACTGTGAGCTAAATAAACCTTTCCTTCCTTTATTTTGGGTATTAGGTATTTTGTCTCAACAAGGAGAGAAAAATAACCAAGACACCTGTGTAGGGCAGAAACAGGGGGGCAGTCCCTCTCAAATATGTCTGGGTTTATGCCTTCTAAACTGGGCTCCCCAGTTAGCCTGTGCGCTGCTATTAATTTTAGTTACATATCTCTACACCGACCACATTGTAAACTTACTAATGAATGAACTTCTTCCCCTTCGAGTTCCCTGTTTGTTTTAACACCAGGTCTTCCTTGTAGACTGTGAGGGCTGGGGGAAGTTTTGCATGGAGCTCTTTACCTATCAATGTCTAAATTTGCCTCCCACCTAAATATACCCACCATCAGGTGCTCTTCTTAATTATACATGTGCAAGCCCTGCGTGAGATTAATTAGTCATATATTTGTCACAACGGTAAAGAGCTCTAGGAACTTAACACCGTCAGTGAGAACTGAGCTAACACACATGTGGTAGGCTGAAAATAATTTACCAAAAAAAAAAAAAAAAGTCTTTTGAATGGATCATTCCAAATGCTAAGTGAAGAACTAACACTATTATAAACTCCTAAGTTAGAATTACTATGTAGCCAAAAAAGGGTTTGGGTCCTAGATAAAGTCAGCACAAACGCTAAGGTACACAAAGATGGTGCCTGGAGGTCAATCTAAAGAGACCCAGGTTTGTAAGCCTCCCTAGAGGTAAACAGCACTTTGCCATTAAGCTGTGATTAGCACCACTTGCTCAGGGAGCCCAGCTATGTATCAGATGCATGGCGGGTGACCAGAACATCTAGACCCATCCCTTCCCAAGAATGCCTTTTTTCTTTCCACGTACCCTTGCTATATGACTCGTTTCCCTACCGGATCAATATTAGCAGAGAAGTTATATATTTACAAAACTACTAGTTGCTTCTGTTTGGACCCATGTTGTACCTGCACTGTGATTTTGCTGTGTAAATTATCCTTGACAAAGGGTCTCTATGGCTACCCACTCAGGACCCCTCTGGGAAATCCAAGAGCGATTCTTCCTTCTCCTTATTTCCAATAAAACCCTCCTAACTTCCTCCTGAGGTTTGCCACTTCATGCCTCAATGTTATGGAACGAGAACTCAGCACATCTGACATCTAACAGGTTGGGAGAATCATTTTTCGTGTAACAAAATAACTATCAAAATATTATTTTTGTTGAAAGAAATGTTTTGAAAACAGGACAAATGAGGGTCCCCTCTGATCACTCAAAAGAATCACTTTCCATCTTCCAGTGTGAGCAGCTGATACATTTACCTTTTACCTTCTTCCCATACAATCAGACAACAGGACTGAGACCCAATTTAAGAAAAGAAGGGGCACTCTGATTGGAGATAAAGTTTAATGTCTCAAATTCAGGTAAGTCATTCAATGGCTGAATGTCACCAAATTATTATTATTGCATATCTCCAAATCACGTTATATGTAAATCGCTTTGGACATTTTTAAATTTGCTGAGGCTGGAAGCCAACTCTACTCAACTCCAGAGCTTCAGACTTGCCCCACCTAAAGGAAAGCCTGCCTTAAAGAGAAAATAATCTCCCACTCCTGGAACCCCCATAAAACACAAAGAAGTTGGGGAAATGAGCTAGTGAGAAATTCATGGGAGAGGATTCTGCTAGCTTGCAATTAGTGTTCACACCTTACTAATATTTTTCTGATGTAAGGTTCATACCCTGTGTAATCATACCCATGGTTTGTCATCACGTTTTTAGTTTCCTGTAAATCAATCATTAAAGAGAAGAAAGGATTAGTGGATTTCTTAAAAATTGGCCTTGTATCCTGTTTCTCTTCCATTAAGCAGCTCACAATCAGATTTATGAACGAGATTTCATTGTTTAAAACTCTGCAGTGTTGAGATTCTTTCTTGAGCAGGAATGTGTTAAACCCCTATTTGATTACTGTTCAAAGCCACTAGACTGTGTAATAATTAACAAATATTTTCTCCATCCATAGAAACCAGCTCTCACTGTCATCAAATGCTTGATCACTGTCTAAGACAACCGAAAAAGCATTTGAAAAACATAGCTCCCATTAAAGAAAATACCTGCTGAAGGCTATTTTTATCACTTTTGGTTAAACTTCCTGGAATTTAGAGCTGCTTCTCTCTGTGAGAATTAAAAGCAAATTAAATTCCCCTATCTTGCCACTTAATTGAAATCATAAGGCCAGTTTCCTTTGTATGCCTGCTCGTGAATTAGGGGTGAGCACAGGCCTCCTTGCTCACGGTCTCAAAAACAGGGTCTCAGTTCTGTTCTCACAATCATCGGAGGCGCAAATATCCTTTGCTTAAAAGAAACAGGGCTTTATTCCAGAGTAAAACAAGATATTTTATTTATGTTACCCCAAATAAACCTTTTCCATACCCTCAGAGCCCTGATATTCAAAGAGTTAATTGTAAAAGAAAAGTGTTAACCTTTTTTTCCCAGACAAAGCCTCATCCCCACTCATTTTGCCACCCCCTCTTGGCCTCTTGATGAGGAACACAGCCTTGTGACTACTTAATTACCTCTATTTTTCCTGGTGCTGTTAGCAGGACAGAAGCAACCAAGGATCCTGCAGAGGCCCCTGCAAAAGCCTGGACATTTTTCAGGAGTTTCTTGCCTTGCCTACACAAGGCAGCTGCCGCCCCCAAGTGGTAAATGCCCAGAAACCCACAGGCTGCGAAGGACAGGTTGATGGGCTTCATTCTCGCTGAGGAATTGGCAAAGCTACAAAAAAAAAAAAAAAAAAAAACAAAACAAGAATGCCTTAAATTGCTATCTCTCATCCCCACATGCTGTGTAGTCTTATACCAATCGCCATCCCAGTGCTTCTTTTAATAAATAGTGCGCTATCTTAAGGGCGGTGGTTTCCACTGATTCTAATTAAATCCAGGAAATGTTCAAAGAAATACCGTCTTTTCCCTGCTCACCTTAACCCCTAACATGGCCTCATTCATTAAATAGTAATATAAGAACATTCCATAGCTGTTAAGCACATAGACTACATTTAATTATGCGATCTAACATTTAATTACTTGGCGAGAAACATATATACAATCCAGTAGTTACTTTTTTTTTTTTTTTTTCTTGACCTTTTTGGGACTTTTTGCAGGAAGTGGTTGCTATCGAGCTGAAGAGGAAAAATTACTAGAAATCGCACTGAATTCCTAAGGAATAACCCATCTCAAAAACAGGTGCTCTGCCTCATTTTCTTCCAATAGAAGCACGCCCGCAAGCAACAATCCCATAAGCTATTATTACTCAACAATACAGCATGTTTCACTGCCCAGTACCTCAAGAGAAATCCAAAATCCTGACTGGTGAAAGCAAAGGCAGGCTTCAAGATTCGCCCTTTCACCACTACATAGCTGCAACACATCTAAATATAAAAACACTGTACATATTTCCCATCATCTGAGCACACATGAATTAAATCAATGCTGCCAAAAGGCAGCCCGCTCTGAGGTCCTGTGGGTTTGTTTGGGGCTCAAGGTTCCTTATCCAGGGACGCTGAGTTGAGGTAAATGCAGGGAGAGCTCAGGACAATTTAGGCACTGCTGATTGCTAAGGTTTACGCCAGCCAGCACGGGGTGCAGCCGGCTGCAGGATAAGCAGGGAGGTTTATATTGCATTTTTGCAAGAAGGAGGGGAAAAGGGATTTGGGGAATTATTTTCCAGGTGGTCAGGCCATGGTGGCCTCCAGAGCACAGCCCACCCTGAATCGTCCTCCCACGCCTCATCCTACCCATACTCAGAAACTTCCGTGTTGATAGCCCCACCCCCAACCCTAACCAGAAGAGGGGGCAGGGATGTCACTCAAAATGGATTAACCTATCAGAGCCAGAAGTTGCTCTCTCTGCCCGCCCAAGAAGGTCCCGCTTACTCTCCTGTCCCACCTTCTTTGTGACGTCATCGAATCCTCGCCTTGCTTAGCACGGCCCCGCCTCTTGTATTTAAATACGGCGCTCAACATGGCGGTACCTATTTGGTCCGTCGGTCGCTGTTTTCTAGCGCAGGCCCTGGAAAAGACTGTTTCTTCAAGAGCCACGCTGTTTGGCTAACCACAGCTGCGTTTTAATCCCTGAAGCCCTTTCATCGCGGAGTGCGTGTGGGCTATCGCCTGAAAACCAGCTGACCTTTAACGACCCTCACCACCTCTGCTCCGGAAGTGCTTGCTGGTCCCAGGTCTGTATCCTGGAAGTGGTTCTCCTCCCTTCCCGCCCTCTTGCCCTTGGGGAAAGTGCTGGTGAAGTTTAGGGCGGAGTCCTGGGGCTACGTTGAGGCGCGGCATTGTTTTGTTTTGTTCCCTAAGAATTGTTTTTTGTTTTTTTTTTGTTTTTTTTGGAAATGCTATACAGTGAAGTTGGGCAATTTACACATTATTTGTAGTTTTTAGGCACTGTGACCTTGGGCAAGTGTGTAATCTGTTTCCTGGGTAGCTTATCTGCAAAATGGAACAATACAGTACTATTCATCGCTAAATTGTAAAGCCGAGGCTACCTTGAGGGCCCCCATAGAGAGTTCAGGCTCCCCCTAATGTCATCATTGAATGTGTGGTCCAGACTTGGAAGAACTCTGCAAGCCAGCATCCCTTTCCAGAATTAAAGGCGCCTGACAATTCTTTTTCCAATCTCCCTCTCTTGTGAAGTTACTTCAAGTTTGTGATTGAAAGCCCACCAGGTACCCTTTTAATTACTCATTGTGGTATAGTTAGGTACAGTTCTTTATTTCCATCAAAATTTAGTGAAAGGAAAGCAAAGTAAATATCAAGAACTATAGAACGACAAACTAGTTCTTTGGCTTTCTGCTGTCCTCTGTGTGGTTGAGTGCAATGAGAATAATAACTTCCAGAAAGCTTAAAAGATGAATTCCATACTCAAATGAGAAATCTGCCATTTTAACACTAGCCTTGAGTATTGCTGTGCTCTTCAAAGCTTGTGAAACACTGGTCTACTCCTGCAGTATGCTGTACTCTGAATGTTTATATTCCTCGAAAACTCATAGGATGAAAACTTAACATCCAGTGTGATAGTGTTGGGAGGAGGGGCTTTGGGCAGCAGGTAAGAAATGAGGATGAACCTTTCATGAATGAGATTGGTGCTTTTAGAACAGGGACTCCCAAAAGCTCTCTTTCTGCTATGTACACATACAGTTAACCTTCTCAGTAGCAACATGCAAACTGGAAGAAACCTCATCTAGGTCTTCCTGCCTTCCTGCATTTCTGTTGTTTATGGAACACTCAATCTGTGGTACTTTGTTACAGCAACCTGAATTGGCTAAGAAAGCAGTCTGGTTTAATGAAATGTAGTGGTAACAAAAGTTTGAGACTAAAAAGCGCAGACTTCTGGGATGGCATTGACTGAGCATGTAACTCCTACATTTGGACCCTGGTCACCAGGTTGGTTCCGCAAAAATGAAAACTTGATCACAGTGCAACTGGGAGAACACTACAACTTTCAAATTCTTGGCTTCAGGCGTAATGAAGGCATTACTTTTTTTTTTTTTTTCTTTGACCGGGATCAAACTCACAACCTCATGCTTGCCAGGCTGGCTCTTATGCTGCTGAGCTAAATTCCCAGCTCCAAGGCATGACTTCTTTTTATACCTACTTGCTGGTGTGAGCCCTCTGCCATGTGTAAGTCACATTGGGGCACCCACTGCTTCATAATGTATCTCTAAAAGTGTAGAACTCGCTTCCTCCTTTCTTTAATCCCAAATCATATTTCAACGCAACTAGTTAAAAATTCTGCTCCCGCATATAAGAATGAACATCATATTCATCCATATTTTTCTTTGTCTTCTCAGGGGCAAGGCTGGAGGCTTGGCGACTATCATGCAGTCAGTATTTGCTTTGGATCTTGGAAGTTAAGTCAATTACCATTGTGGTCGGAGTATATGGTACTGTACCTGCACCTTAAAAACATTTCTTATGTAATTAATTTGCTGATTTTTGTTTTCTTATTTTCCTTATTTAGTCTTGAACTGCTTTATTTGCTTAGCTAATTTTAATTATTAAGCATCTGCTATGCTTGTTCAGAGCATGCATGGTTGATAGGAATGGAGCCCTCATCAGGGACACAGAGTCCAGTGAGCTGACAGACATAATGAGTAATGATAGAAGTATTATCACGAGTTATTGTAAAGCCATACCTGGATGTTTTTTGGATGTGCGCACAGAGCTGGACAGTAAGTAACCTTTAGCTGGGAGGCACATAATAGTACCCACCACTTACTTACACAAAGTGTTGTACCCTAATGGTTGTATTTTCTGGGCTAGGTTCCCTTCCACAAGATTTTATCTTATATAACAATTCCCTCCTTATCTCTGGTTTCTCTTCCACAGTACAGTTGCCTGAGGTCAGTGGTGGTGTGCAATGACTGGGAACTTCTAATAAGCAGTTCATATATTTCAAATTCCTTGTTTTGCCAAGTAGCATGATGAAATCTCATGACATTCTGCATCCTCCCACTCATGTGTGAAATCACCCTTTTGCCTGGAATATTTATCCCCAATTCCCATCTGTCATTATTTGGAATCCTCTCAGTTATCAGATGGACTACTGGTTTTGCAGTTCTTGTGTTCAGGTATTCCCTGTTTTATTTGATGAATCACACCAAAGATAAACTGTAGAAGGACAGATAACTCTCCTTCTGTGTGGTCATGCTCCAGGGCTGCTAGAAAAAATCATAGTGCAGTGGTTCCTTGGTTCCTGAACTTAATTTGTTCCATAGTGTTTAAAAAGATGCCATATCTGTGTTTGTGCAAGAAAGATGGCCATGGTTGTGTTTGTCACTCGATATTGTGTTTGCAAACAGAAACAAAATTTTGCCAAACACTTTGGTTTGCAAACCTGTTGTTGGCAAACAAAAGCATTCATGAAACGAGGTGCCACTGTGTATATGCAGTTCAGTACTGTCCATGGCCATCCACTGGAATTCTTAGAATCTATTTCCCATGACAGAGGAGAACTGCTATATTCCTGCAGGGAACTAGAAAGTACATATACCAGGGTTGCTTTCCCACACCTCTCCTCCAAGCATAAGACTTTGTATCAGAATCTTTGAGTCTAAGCTCTCCTTCTAGTTGGATCTCCATATTGTGAAATTGCATTTTTGGTCTTTACATCTTAACCTGCATTCATACTTCTGCTAGGCATGCCACCATTCCCTGTTTGCCCCCATATCCTTCTTCCTACTTGTTAACTCCTTCTCTCTATTGCTTCCTCCTGAAATCTTGGGTACTGACCCTGGTGAACTGGACAGCTTGGATGTTCCCCTTTAATTTTGAAGGAATGTGGCCACAGTGTTGGAGTACATAGTGCTGGCCTTTCTGTGGTGTACTGAGGTATGAGCTCGTATTCCTGTATGCTATGGTCCTAAGTTAAGCATCATCTTGGTTTGGCATGGAGAAAAGAACTTTTGCAGTCATGGGGTAGAATTCTACTTCTAAAGCTAGAGGGGGAGGGGAACGGAGAGGGAGAGAGAGAGGAGACAGAGGGAGACCAAGACCCTTGCCACCATGAGTTGGCCATTAGTGAAAGCTGCCACACAGAGGGAGCCATCATGAAAAGAATAAGACAACATAGTGGGATTGAGATCTGGGAATGGGGAGGACAGAAAGAAGGACAGGCCCAGGTGTCATGGCAGCCATTGAGTCTGAGGATGCAAAATAGAGTTGGCTGAGATTTGTTTTTTTCTGAATTTTCTATTGTTGTATTAGAATTCCTTAATTATAGCCCTTACAGTGGATGCTTTAGAATAGATAGAGCAGTTAAGCTTTCAAAGTTTCATAGTTAAAACCATGGATTTTATATACACAATAGGTTCAGATCCTTGGTGGTGAGAATGGGGGACAGTTACAAAATATATTACAGACCCTTCAATTTAAAAAAAAATTCCATTTACAGAAAATCTGTGTTCTCTGCCCTATTTAGTTAGTTTGAAGACACTGTACTGTTCTAAGGACTGTTTCGTGTCCACAGAAATCAGAGTACTGCTGTCTTTTGGTTTTCTACCGGTGAGATGGAAATAATAATACCAATGTCAAATACATAATATTGTTGGGTGTTAGACAAATGGACAGCTTTAGTGCCTTCTGCTTTATCCAGTGTGCCAAAATATTCTGTGTTCATCCAGTGTGCCAAAATATTCTGTGTTAACCCAGTGTACACAATCCAATCATTATGTGTATTCTTATTAAAAATATCCTAACTGCTAAATAAAATATTAATATTATTTAATCATCTCAGTTCAGAGAAAACAAAATTAGGAATTTGTCTCTTGCTATCAATGGGAGATCGATTCCAGACCACCTGTGAGTGTGAAAGTCCAATATAGTAGGTCAGTTGACAGAGTAGACTGTTGGTATCTGTGTGTCCACGTGCAAGGATCCAACCAACCATGGATTGAAATTAAAAAAAAATTTTGGTCAGATTGAACAGGTATGAACTTTTTCTGGTCTTTATTTCCAAACTAGTATAGTATAACACTATTCATGTAGCCTTTAGATTGTGTTAGGTATTGTAAGTCACCTAGAACTAATTTAAAGTATACAGAGGGTGTATTCATAGATTACATAAGGAGCCACACCACCTCTTATTTAAGGCACTTGAATGTGTACCCACCTTGGTGTCATTGGGGATCCTGGAGGTCCAGTTGTTGGTGTTGGGTACTAAGATGACTTTATTTTTCTTGGAAAAGCTCTTGCTTTTCTTATCCCTGTCTATTGATTAGGATCACACAGTTACAGCTCTTAAATTACATATTGCCGGTCCTGTACACCTTCTTCTTAGGTAACCATTACAACAGTGATGACATGTTCAAACACACAACAGATAAGAATTTAGAATTTTAGTAATTTCCTCACCTCTATGTACAGGCAAGGAGAAGAAAGTGTGGGTCTCATGATGTTAACTGGGGTAAAAAAGACACATGAGCACATCACGTTGTCTCTCATATATGAAAAGCCCAGAGTACAAATTAATAAAAGATAATAAGGAATGCAGAGAGAAATCTTTTGCAAATGTAAAGAGGACCAAGACGTGGAAGGAGGTGGAGAGGGGAGGGGTTTTAAAATGACTTAAGATATGTACATGCAGTGATGCCCCCGATGAATATAATCATTTTGTACTTCAAAGATGTACTAATAAACATTAAAATTTTAAAAAAGAAGTGCTGGTTTCCCCAACTGCAAAGCCTGTGTGCAGTTCTACCTTCCTTACAAACTTTCAAAAATAAATCAGTGAAATAATGTGTCTCTTATGTGTGTTAAGCATTGTGTCATTTAACTACTTTAAGTAGGATTCTATTTCTTTCCCTGGGCAGAATCTGTAATTGATGTTCATATCTGGACATTTATAATTTTAAGAAAAATGATGAGAGCTTGATAAATATGATGTGTGAATTTATTTCCTTCTAACATTTAAAAACTTGTTTGGGTCTTGAAAAGAAAAAAAAAAAGAAAGAAAACCTAGAAATTAATTACATCTAGCCTTCCCCTTTGATCAATTACCACAACAACTCTTTTTGATTAGTCCTTTTCCTGGAAGCTATGTCATAAAGCAGGTTATTGTAAAAGTGTGATTTCCACTAGTCACAATGTTAAAAAGGGATCTTGTTATTGACCAAGGTCTCAAGCTCAAGTAAATCATGAATGTCGTCATTAGTCTTCATTATTCTTTATGTTTTTATGCTCATCCATTTAATAAACTTCACTGAGTGTCTCATATATGAAAATGATTTTCATAGGCCTTAGAAAATATATGAGGCAAAAATCAATCAATCAGTGAATCAATCAAACAAAGTCTGGAAGATAAACTCTGCTTATAGTCTGTTGTCTTTTTGCTTGAATATCCTTTCATGGTTTTGTATCATTAAACCGTATTTATTCTTGAAGACCTAAATCAGACTCTGCTTTTGGAATGCATTTATCCACTTGGTGTATTAAATGTTCTCTGATCTTTATGGTCATGCGTATACCATCTACCACCTTTTATTTCAGTTAAGAGATGTTTTTGCCACTACTCTTTAGGTTCAATTCATTTGGAGCAGGGACCATGTCTTGTGTTGCTTGTTTTTTCTAGCACCTGGAAATTAGGTAAAGCATAGTAAATGCGTGCTATCGTTGGGAGTCCCTAAATGTCATGTTTCACCATTGAATAATCTGCGCCAAGTATGATAATTGCAGAAATGGCTAGGTCATGCGCCCAGTGAAGCTGCTGATTTTTCTGCTGCTTCCGTATTTTTTTTCCTCTGGCTTTCATTCTTTAGGTAGGAGGACATCACCGTGAGGGTGCTGGCACCCCCATCCCGTCTTCCTAGCCTATTGGTACAAAACTCCTTTTCTTCTGTTTGCCTCTAAAATATAGAAAAAGACGCCTTATGTTAGCTTTGCATGATGGTAACAAAATACCTGAACCAGTCACTTTATGAAGTAGAGAAGTTTATATTGGCGTGTGGTTTTGGAGGCTCCGGTCAATGGTTGGTTAGCCCCATTGCTTCTGAGGCTGTGATCAGTACAGAGAGGTGGAGAACACAGCAAACTGTGATAGGATGATGATTGGAGTCCATGACAGAATGCTCCCGGGCCGTGTACACAGTGAGTAGATCTGAGAAGCGCTGAATGCGGAGAACTTCCCAGAAAAAGATCTGACATTGGAATCAACATCTCTACTACAGTATTAGATAGATATATACTGAGACAAGGGACAGCAGGTATCCAGCTATATTCTATCAAACGTGCCAAGTTGCTTTAGATGTACAAAACTGTGTTTTGTATATTAAGTAAGTATATATTCCTCCAAGCAAATAGGATTCAAACTATGATGTTTGGTGCATTGAAAAGTTAGCTCCAAAAGTAAATGTGTTCAGATGGAGAGTACGTATTCTCTGGCATGAAT